TTTCAAATTCTTTAGAAATATCTGCTAGGATTTTGATTGAGATTGCATTGAATCTATAGAATAGTTTGGGTGGAATTGGCATTTTTACATTATCTAGTCTTCTAATTCATTAACATGATATATCTCAAAATTGTATCAACTAAGACTAATTTCTCATCATAAAGATTAGTACACCTTTTGCTGACTTTACTGCTAAGTATTTGATTATTTTATGCTAATTTTATGTTATATTAAAATTAAGTTCAAATTTTTAATGGTTTATGAAAACATATAGAAATATAATAAATTTTATATTGACTTTTTTATCCAGCAACTTTGCTAAATTCATATAATAATAACCTATTGCTAGTTTCTTTTAAAATTATATATTCACAAGGCATGCTAATGATAGTTTGATTTGTCTCTAACCTTTGTACATTTAATTTCCTTTTTTTGCCTTAAATTCACTGGCCAGGTCTCCCAATACAATATTGAATTGAAGTAGTAATAGAGACATTCTTTCCTTGAATATTACCTCAAAAGTTAATGATTAAATATTTCACCATTAAGTACGATATTTGCTGTAGACTTGTATTAGGTACTGTTTATCAGATTGAAGAGGTATCTTCTGTTCTTAGTTTGCTGTGAGTTTAAAATATGAGTTGCTGATCTGAAACAAAAAGACTACCAGATATTTCTCCAGCAAAGTTGGGTTTACTTGGGATGAGCAGAGAATTGAATTTCAGGGTCTTCAGCCATGGCAAGCCACATGCAAGTCCCCACAGGAAGGGAAGAACACTTTTATAGAGAGAAAAAGGAAGTTGGGAGGGCTTAGTAAACAAAGAGTCATGGTTTTTCACTGGCTGAGTCCTTGCCAGGAAGAGATTTTCTTCTTCCTGTTGGGCTCTGCTATTGTCAGAGAGTGTGCCATCTCCCCCTTTTGGTCTCCCAGTTCTATTTAACTGAGATTTCTGTTTGTTAATTTTTTGATAAATTACATAATTATATGTTATATCACAGGTGTATTTAAACATAAATAGATATTACCTATCTAAATATATAAGTAAGAAGATGCTGTTTACACAGTCCATCTTCATAATACATTTACTGTGATGGTTAATTTTATGTGTCAATTTGATTGGGCCATGCGGTGCCCATATATTTGCTTAAACATTATTTCTGAGTATGTCTGTGAGGGTGTTTCTAAATGAGAGTAGCATTTAAGTTGATAGACTCAGTAAAGCAGATTGCTCTCCACAATGAGGATGGGCCTCATCCAATCCACTGAAGGCCTAAATAGAATAAAAGGCTGAGTAAGAAAGGAATCTCTGTGTCTCAGAACTGGGACATTGCTCTTCTGTCTTTGGATTCAGACTCAGACTAGAACTTAACACACATCAGCTCTCCAGTGTCTCCAGCTGGTTGACTGCCTCCATAATCATGTAAGCTAATTCCCTATAATGAATCTTTTTGTATGGATAGATGAATTAGATAGGTAGATAGACCTATTTATCTCTAGAAAAACAGAACCAATAGGAGATAGATAAATAGATATAAGAGATAGATGGATAAAAAGATGGAGATAGAGATTTATCTCCACCTCTTTATCTGTTTATCTACTCTACTTATCTATTTATCTATCTCCTTGGTTCTATTTTTCTGAAAAACACTGACTAATTTCCTTGCATACTCTTACAGTTGTGTGGATCTGTGTTTTCTAGTTTTTTCTTATTGTGAAGGTAAATCTATTCAGACTAATAGCTCTTACTGAGTGGACCTTGGGGCCTGGTGTCTGACACTTCTGGTAGAATTTAAAATAAGTATTTTCTCTTTATAATAATAATCCAGGATAATCCGTTCATCTCAAAATCCTTAATGTAATCACATCTGCAAAATCTTTTCCTTGTAAGATAACACTTATAGTTTCCAGGGATTAAATCTGATATCTTTGGGAGCCATTACTTGGGTTACTACAGAGTTTAGATTTTGGATCAGAACATACTTGAATGTGAGTCCCAGTCTGACATATTACTAGGTCTGTAACTTTAGGAAATTAACCATTTTTCCTCTTTATTACTATCCTGATTTATACAATGAAGAAAATTTTAAGCTTATAAATAAGAAAATCTATCTAAATATGCTTGATACATGGTAAGAAAGGAATCGATACATGTTAGTTCTCCTCCTCCCTTGCTTGTCCTTCATACTTTGTTCTTTCCTTGTGTCCTTTTTTCCTTTGTCTCTTGTCTCCCTTTATCACTCTCTTATTTCTACTCTTTCACATCCCCATTTTATCTCTTGGACTAGATTCTTCCTAGCATCACTTGCTCCTACTGACTTATCCTGCAGGTTGTTGTGCAGGGAGTAGACAAAGTTGGTCCTGAGATAGTTTGAGAGCTTCAGGAACCTACCAGACTAGAACCTGGTGTTGAACCATTGGGAGTAAGAGTCAAATGGGAGAAGTCAAGCCTGGCCAGCTTCTGTTGGTTGTTCCTAACTTGACTTGCTGGGTACAAGTGGCAGAGGTCAATGCTGGTTTTTTCAGTAAGGCTATGGAAGGTCAGAAGTATCAACCACTCCACTTTCTGGGTCTCTGTCTCTCCATACATGAGTTAAAGAAGCTGAAATATTTGAGCACTAAAATTTTAGAGTTTTTTGAGTCAATACTGTCACTTCTCAGTCTTCTCAAGGTGAAAATTGGTCAAATTAGATGACCAAGGGATATGAACTACTTAAACAATGAGGAAATATTAAAAGACTGTGAAATGTGAAAGGACATAAAGGCAAACCCCTACCCCTAGCTAATTGTTGGATTTGGGTTTGTAGTGTTGATGAGATGGGCATCCTTCTGAGGGAGGAGCAAGGCTTGGATCACACAGAAGCTTGGAGGCTGTGCCTTGTTGGAGGATGTCTGGTTCTGTAGTCAGATAAATTACTTAGCTCTTGTGGGTGCTGTGGGTGTCTCAGAGGCCTGTGGTTGTGCATGGACACAGTGGTACCTGGTACTTCAAGGTAGAAATAATGGACATGGGTCTTACCTGGGAAAGTACACATTCTTCTTCACACATTGTCCCTTTTGTGTTAGCAAACCCTAGAATTACTTCTTGGAGCAGATGAAGGTGGAAATTTTGGCCATAGTGGCAGAGCCTACAGGAGGACTTTACTTCAGGGCCAGCTGCCTCAATGAGGTCTGGGGATTAGGGCCACAGCCAGCCCCAGGATTCGAGGTGTCTTCAAGGATGAGACAATAGTACACACAAACATGGACAAAAATGCAGCAAAAAGGAAACTACAGCAAAACTTCCCTTGCATTGTTACTGAGTCCAAGTTTGTACAGCTCGCTGTACAAGAGGCCAGTAAGTCGAGAGACATGTGTTGGGGCAAAGAATAGAGACTTTATTCAGAAAACTGGCAAACTAAGAAGATGGCAGACTAAAGTCCTAAAGAACGTCTTGTTCAGGTTTGAACACAATCTTCTTTTATGCTACAAAGAAGGGGAAATAGGAGGTAGTGAGGTCAAGAGGTGACGAGTGGTTGCAGACTTCTCGGTGCCGGCCAGACCTTGGAGGGGACAGGGTAATCTTTTTTTCCTGCAGTTGTTCAACACTGGGCTAGCCATGATGCTCCTGCAAATCTTTAACGAGACGGATGTTATTTCCTGTTCTGCAACTCCTTATCGCTATGTGGATGAGTGGTCACCCAGCAAGGGAAAATTATGTTTCTGATGATTAGTATACCTACAAGTGAAGCAAAAGTATTTTAGCTTTAAAAGTTAATCATGGGAGGCAGAGTTTCTAGAAGGGGGCTATTAAGTGTACTTCAAGCTATAGACCATTTTCATTTTATGCTTACTGTGCCTAAATGCCTTCTGCATGGTTACTCTAAATGCATTGAGGACATGACTGGCTGGATCAGGCATTACTGATCAGGCCATAGATTATAGGCCTTTGAGAAGCACTAAGAAATCTGAGATAACAAAAAGCTTATCTTCCAACTGAGTTCACAAGAATTCAACCACATCCAGATTTCAGTTTTGGGAGCAGAGAAAGCCTTTTGTGTGAACCTGGAAGAGGCAGGGCTGGTGGAGGGGACTGGATGTAAAACAGCTTAGAACTGAAGAGGAAGACATTATCACGTCAATAAACAAGGGAGATTAGTAAAGCTGAGCTGGCAGTGAAAAGCCAGCCAGGAGCAGATGGGGGTGGGGAGGGGAGAGAGAAACAACTCTGTGACTCTTCACTGGTTCAAATACTTTCCAACAGCTTTCTGATCATCACCTTATTGGGGCCTCATAATAAATAGTTTTATGGAGTAAGTGGGGCATAGATGATTACAATAATTCACAGAGAATGATACTCCATCAAGCCCAAGGCATTTCCCTAGCTCACAGTTTAGAGCTTTCTCCTGGATAACTTCCCACTGACTGTGCATCTGTCCTCTGTGTTCCTCCTGCATTACAAGCCATTCTCTGGGGGGCACAGTGTCTGAGACGCTCAGCCCCCCACATCTGGACTTCATAACGAGAAAATACTGTGTGCTGTTGACTGAGGGATGAAAGTTTCAGAGGACAAGACAAAGGATTAATAGTCTACTGGGACAATGCTTCTCAAACTTTAGTTTGCATATAAATCATATGAAGATCCTGATTTTAAAAAGTGGAGTCCACTTCAGCAGTGGTGGCTTTACTTGCCAGATGCGGAGCCAGCAGTTGGAGAAGGTAGAGAGAGTGCTTTAAGTTCCAAAGAGGGAAGCCCCCAGCTTTACCTGCCAGAATAAGGATGCTGAACCTTCAGGGCTTGCGGGAGGGCGCAGGGGAGTGAGGGGGAGTGAGCAGGAGCTGGAGGCTGGGGAGATGGACCAAGAGGAAGAGGGAGGGAGCGCGGGGTGGGAGGAGTTTGGCGGGTGCGTGAATGCTGCTCTGCGATTGGAGGGCGCATCTTTAAACTGGTCCCTGCCAGGAGCTCAAAAGGAGCCAAGATCCCTGGGGACCTGAGACTCTCCTAGAACTCCTGGTGTGAGCCATGATCCCGCAGTTCTGGGCCTCCTGTCTTTTCCCACTGTTCCTGGTCGGCTTCGCTCAGCCGACCCCGCAGCAGCAAAAGGTGAAGGTGAGTGTCAGGCTGAGAACCCAGGCTGATGTCAGCCCCTGATGACTACATTGGCCGCCAGGGAGGCAAGGAGTTCTCCCTTCTCCTCTTCTACCAAGGACAAGATCAGAGTCCCCAGCCTTTCTTAACTTAACATCTGCCACCGCCCCTGCTGTCCCCTGAGGCAGAGGCTCCCCTAAACCGCCTCTCTTTTATGTGAATAGTCTCCCCTGCACCCGACGGGGCGTTGGGCCGAAAGTGGGCGAAGGACGCAGGCAGCTCTCGCTGCTGTGGGCCTTGCCACTTTCCCCCTGGTGGCCGCTAAATAGCCCTGAGCCTGTCCCTTCCACTCTGGTCCGGAGCCTCGGGCAGCCTTGAGGTTCCAGAAGGCTTTCAGCATCAGGAAAGACAGGCTTTTTCCTTTTGAGGGGAATAATAAAACACAAAAGGCCAAGAGGGTTGTTGGCCAATTTTCGTTTTAGAGGAGGTGGTGTAGTGAGGGGAGAACAAAGCTCAGATCAGAGGACTGGCTCTAAATTTTCCGTGCTGCTCCAAATCGCCTGATGCCCTGCAAATCCCCACTCTGGGTGTCGGTAGCCATTCTGTAGGAGGTATGTGTATGTGTCTTAGGATGCAGGGTGGGGACTGAAGTAAATGACTTGAGATTCCAAAAAGTTTTAACTTTAAAATCAGGCAAATTCATTCAAAAACTCATTCTCACTGTGGCATTAAGCAGTTAGGTATCTTTTATTGGCCCTGTTGTCTCCTTTCTTAAAATCCAGAGAAAACCCATCTGGTAGTGCAGCGATTTCCAGATTTCAACTCACATAAGGATCTCCGGGAAGGCTTGTTAAAGCCCAGATTACTGGGTTGCACCCCCAAAGTTTCTGATTGAGTAGGTCTTAAAGGAGCCCAGAGTTTGCATTTCTAACACGTTCCCAGATGATACTTGTGCAGGTCCTCACACCACACTTTGTTATTGGGTTCATGCGAAGTTTAAAATGGTACATATAATAGGGTTATATCATAAATATAATACAAAGACTGGTAGCTGTCATACGATCATGTCCCCTCTCTGAAAAAAAAAAGGGTACCGAGATCTGAGTCAGCAGCTGTTGCATGATTGGGTGTGGAATTTATTGCAGTGGCAAGAAAGGCAAATATTAGAGACAATTATACTAGCACAGAGCTGAGGGAGTATGAATGCAAAAGACAATGCAGGCATCTAGATGACAACCCTTTCCTAGTGACTTTCTTAGGCTAATGCTCCCAAATGTTTGGATTAATGTGTGCGCATTGACGTGCATGGCTGTATGGACACACAGGGAGGGTTCCTGCCCTAGAGTCAGCCTCCTTCTCTACAAGGAGAGTGAAGGGGAAGCTATTGCCTGGTATCCTAGTGACAGAACTCACAGACTTAGGAAATGATAAAAGAATTCTTTTGCCTCACTCTCCCCACAGGCACTCACCCACAAGCATTTCCTTCACTGCTTGGGGCAGACATTCATGGACTAAGATCCCCTGAAGCCCACTTAAATCAATCTAAAATTCTGTACTTTTTCTCTACATCTCCAGGAATCCTTCTCCTCAAATAACAACATTTT